AAATTTTCTTGTTTTAATTGGCCATGACGTCGTTTAGTTAGAAGCTATCAGACTTTTAGATAAGTCGCTTTGCATCATACCAACTATGGCAGTACATGTACATCGGAGATCAAACGAAATACGGTACCAGTATATGACTGTGCCCATGTGATCATCGCTCAACCAAAATTGTGAAGTTGTTTTTCGTTTGCATGGATTGGTAATTCACACTTACTAGGTCTGAAACAAAGAAACAAACAAAGAAACAAAGAAAGTGCCTTTCTAACAGGAAGTCAAGCTGTCTGGATTTGACCGGGAAATTTAACACATGTTCTTAGCTTAGTGCACTTTACAACTTCGATACATTGTGTACAATTTCATACGGTAGTTACCAAATTTCTAGTCACTCATTGCTTTGAGCACTTACTTTTTTAATAATTTTTTGTTGATGTAAAAATGAAATAAGAACTTGCTTGCAATTATTTGATAGTTGTTGAATCATGGGTGTAAATAATTTCATACATACAAGTCCAGTTCATTATAAACTCAGAGCTACAATGTAAGGCAGCCATTACTCGAAATAAACCAGCAGTGAAGTTAATCAATCACAGTAATACACATGTATTTGCTTCATAAGTAGCCTGTATATACACTTATCACAATGTTCTAAATCATAGCTATGGTAGTTTATATTGTTGTTACTATATTAAGTGCAATTTCTATCAACTTGTTACAAACCATACCAAGTATCAAAGTAATAAAGCTGGTATTTTTCAAGAAAAAGTTGAAAATAACATTTTCTATTAAAAATGAAAAAAATATTCACTTAAAATAGAGAATAAACAAGCAGCCTCTCGGCTGAGACAGCTCCGCTGTTAGCAATGCACATTACAATTAAAGAACAGAAGATATCATTAGAAAATGAACAATATATATATATATATATAAAGCAACGGGACAAATCTGAAAGAAGCCTACATGTAGTACGTATATATGTACCGGGGGGGGGGGGTAATACAAGCAGCCTCTCGGCTGAGATAGCTCCGCTGTTAGCAATGCACATTTCAATTAATGAACAGAAGATATCATTAGAAAATGAACAAAATGTATAGTATCAAAACAATCAGACTTGTGGTTTTCAACAAGAAGTGGAAAATATCACCTTTTACCAAAAATTACAAAAATAGAGAATTGAAGATATCATCATGAAATGAACAAATCTGAGTTAGAACCACATGTAGTACCTATATATGTAATATCAAAGCAATTGAACTTGCGGTTTTCAACAAGAAGTCGAAAATATCACTTTTTACCAAAAATGTCAAAAATATTCACCCAAATTAGAGAATTAAAGATATCATTACAAAATAAACAAATCTGAGAGAGGTCCACATGTAGTACCTATATATGTAATATAAAAGCAATTGGATTTGCGGTTTTTAACAAGAAGTCGAAAATATCACTTTTTACCAAAAATGACAAACTTATTCACTAAAATTAGAGAATTGAAGATATCATCATGAAATGAACAAATCTGAGAGAGATCTACCAAAGGTACATATACACCAAGTATCAAAGCATTCAGGCTTGTAGTTTTCAAGAAGAAGTTGAACAAGTAAAACATTGACACGGACGACGACGGACAATCACTCATATGATAAGCTCCGCTCAACAAAGTCGACAGCGGAGCTAAAGATATTGTCATGGAATGAATAAATCAGACCAAGGTCCACTCAAGTTACTTACATACCAAGTATCAAAGCAATTGAGTTGGTAGTTCTCAAGAAGAAGAAGTCGAAAATAGCATTTTTTATCAAAAATATTCACTTAAAATAGAGAATTGAAGATATCTTCACCACATGAACAAATCTGACATAGGTCTACCACAGTACCTACATACAAAGTGTCAAAGCAATTGAGCAAGTAGTTTTCAAGAAGTCAACTTGAAATAGCATTTTTTACCAAAAATGAACAAAATATATGCTAAAAATAGGGATATCTTCGGGAAAAGAACAAATCTGACTAAGGTCTACTGAAGGTGTCTACCCGGTACATATGAAATATCATAGCAATCACACAGAATTGAGAAGCAATTTTTACCAAAAATTACAAAAATATTTGATGATATCTTCACAAAATAAACAAATCTGAGACAGGTCAACCAAAAAGACATATATAACAAGTATCAAAGCATGTGGACTTAACGTTTTCAAGAAGTCAAGTTGACACAGAAGGACATGAGTATATGAGCTCTGCCCTGTCGACTAAGTCAGCAGAAGAGGACAGACATTTTCCATTAATTCAGTGTAAAACCATTTATTTTCACTATTTTGATGTTTCCTGCATATTCACAGTGTTCTAATTTCACGGACTTGTCAAAGAAACGATGAGTTTTATTGTTATTTTACATATTCACACAGATTTAATTTAGCGAATTTCACTCATTAGCGAAAATTGCGAAATTAAAACCCAGTGAATAATTAATTCATTTACAGAATCTTGGCCTTGATCTATGATGATACAAATAAGGTAAAAATGCATTTCAACGCAATAAACTCAATGAGAAAACAAAGTCGATATTTATTTGAATAAAAACACTTTGTGATAGAACAAAAATATTCTGGTAGACAAGACTATCGTAAGGATGAAGACCTATATGTACATGTAATTCAAATATGATATATCACAAATTAAATGATAACAATACCTCCTGATGCTGTTCTTGAAACCATCGTGATCGAGAACAATTGTCATATTTTTTAACCTGTAAATTCAACATCAGTAGTCTTGATTCATCAATCTATAAGAAAACAGTACAAATCGAGTTGAAAGCGCCATGGTTGTCACACAGTGTCTTTGTTTATAGGATGTATTTTACACACACACTGCATAGGATTCCATGCTTAGGATCCATGTTGAACATAACACAGTAAAACAATTGTGGAGTCAATGCAAAGCTACATGTACATACAATATTGTGCTTAATTTAGGCAGAGGGTTCTCCGAACCCCCCTATTCACATAGTTCATACCCACCATAGACTCCGGTCAGTCAAAATGACTATTTTGAACTGCAGGCATTAATTAGCGATTCTACCAATGACGGAGAAATAAAATCTAGGTCAGGGGAAGCCCTAAGACCCCAAGATTTTTTTCTCTTACGTCATGAACCACGTGACCGAGACCTGGAAACTTCCAAGGAATGCTGACGGTAGAGAAATCTGTCCGCAAAGATGCTGAGACCGACTTATTGCCTATGCGTGGGGACCCTTGTGGTCGTTCAGGCTGGGTCAGCAACCAGAGTCTGAAGCGCAACGACGGGATCCAACCTAAAAAGACCCTCTTCAATGGATTTATAGGTGTCTCTTAGGTAGTAGTTGATAAAGACATTTTGCTTTCTCCAGAAGCCTGCCCTCAATATCTGTTCGAGGGAGACGCCTGACGCTAGCGCTAGTGAGTTAGCAATGGCACAGACCTCATGCGCTCGCACTTGATGTCTTTTTAAACTCTGTGTCGAGGAAGTTAAGTATTATAGACCTCTAATACAGTTGCAGTAATCCACCTGGCGATGGAAGTCGGGGAGGACGGCCTATCCTGCCTGCCTTGGCCGTAACACAAAAACACGTGCTTGGTACCCCGTCTCAAATCCCTAGTTTGGCTTTCGTAGCAACTCAGTGCTCGAACCGGACAGAGAAGCAATTCCTACTGATCCTCCGGGCCGACAATATTTGACAGCTTGGGGATGACGATCAACTGAGGATCGTGTCCTGGGATTTGGTTCTTGGCGAGAAACTGGATTCGTGTCTTTAAGCACAACTTGATTGTCCATAAGGACGACACACTCTATGTGTGTAGGAGATACACTGCTGGGCTCGCTGATAGTGCGCCGTCCGGTTGGGACAGCATCTCCGGTAAATCCGGAAGCACTACTGGTGTTTTGGCTAGCATTTCCAACAGAAGTGGAAACTAGGCCTTGGTTGGCCAATTGGGTGCGACCAGTGTCAATATGCAGGTGTGCACCTGTCAAAGTTTTCTCCAGTACCCGGCGAACTAGCGGGGAGGGAGGAAAGGGATACGCATCTATGTGGGCCCACGGGATCGATAAGGCGTCCCTGGCCAAGGCTCCTGGAGTCGACAGGAGTGTTATGTACATTGGGAGCTTGGCATTCCGGGTTGTGGCAAACAGGTCTATATTTGGACCGTCCCACAGTCAAAACAGCCTGGAGGCTACCCACTGAGGTATCTGCCACTCAGTGTTCTAGAGACGGAGACGAAAGGGCGTCTGCCAGACTGTTCCTCACCCCTGGAAGGTGGTGTCGGTTAGCTCCACATTGTATTCCAGGGACCAAAGAAAAAAATTTGCTCTGCTAGGACTGACAACGATGGGGAGCCGATTTTTACTGAACGTGCGACCTTGCAGTGAAAATACAAGCGACACGGTCAGTCTCAGCGATTTTGCATGGCTCTGGAAAACATCCCAGGCCTCAGAACTCCAGTGAAAAACACACGCCTTCAAGTTCAAGGCAAAAACCCCCAAACCCTGCACAAAGTCGCGGCAAAAATAGCATTTTGGATGCTGATTCTATGCTGGTAAATTCTGATTATAACCACTGCACAGTCACCTCAAAAAAAAGGAGACAAAATCGGCAGCGAACCTCTGGTGCTATCATTACATCTATCCATGCATGAGGGAAGCGAAATACAGTTGGAAAAGGTGACACAAAAAAACCAACGACGTGGTTGAATTGTGTTGCCGGGTTTTATTTTCTTTGTTCTGAAAAATTATACACACAAAAGGGGAAATCAACACGGGGGTAAAAAAATAAGAAAAACTTATCCAACCAGCCACAGTGTCAGCTACCGCTGGCCGTGGTAGCAACCCAAGCCAGAAACCCGGACAGGAAAAGGCAGGCTTTCCAGGCAGAGCCGCTAGATTCATCCCCGTCGACGCGGAGATAAAGAAAGAGTAAAGGTCAAGGTGAGGTGGCGTGACGTCACCACATTACCTGGGGCACATGGTTTGTGACATAAGGGAAAAAAATCTTGGGGTCATGGGGCTTCCCCTGACCTAGATTTCATCTCTCCGTCTCTACAGTTCAAAATAGTCATTTTGACTGACCGGAGTCTATGGTGGGTAATTGAACGTCGTGAATTGCCTATCCAACCCTTAAACCTAACAGTCCAACCAATCAAAGAGCAGCTTGTTTCTTTATAGGTTTTTTTGACATATCAAATTCAGCATCGTACCGGATTCTGCCGTAAATTCGCCTGTTAAACGGCAGTTTGGGTTTTTCACAAAATAAAATGGGACCAAGAAATCACCCAGAGCAATTTTTCGACAGTTATTTTAATCTTTTCTAATGCCTAAAAGTTTCACCGTAGTAATTGACGCCTATTTCAAGAGTATGTTTATTGTGACTAGCGTGAATGGGTAAGCTTTGTTTCGACAATGAGCTGTTATCACTGTAAACAATGTTATTCTTACAATTATTCTTTAAATGCTCAGTTTATTTTTTTGAAACATCTATTTTTTTTATTAAAAACAAATCATGCCGCTTTCCCATCAAAATCCAAGCCAAAAGATCGTACAACAACATCGTCAAATCTTTTTCTCTGCTGCGTTCAATAACATTAACATATTTAAATGAGTTATGGTAATTTGAACACGTTGGCATCATCTATCGTTTTCACTGGTTAATCCTATTATTAGCGATTTGAGATCTCAGGTCAAAGAACACCGTCCCAGGTCAAAACATGGCGTTTAAAATGTGACCAAACTCATTCACTGATGATGAAATACATTGAAATTTATATGCATTTCATAACAATTCAACAAATTTATTTTTTTCACATTATAATTTTATTATAATCATTACTAGGTAAAATTATCAACAATTGTGCAATGCAGCATGACCGGATTGAGCTACTGCGATCATTCGCTACTAAGCAATGCAGTTGTGTTAATTTTTATTTGCAACTTCTTTTGAAATATACTTTCGGTACTAATAAAATGAAAAAAATAATTGTATTTGGCGCATGAGGTTCGTTTATGTGATTTGTTTGGAGAAAGATGTGCTGGGTGACATTGTAATAAAATTTCAGGCGGCCAAGAAAAAAATGTTGGCATTCAATGAAAAAATAAGTACCCCAAAAATATTTGATGATCATTTTTTGAAATTTTGAACCCCAAATAAGGGCCCACCAGCCATGAGGGCAATTTTTCAGATGGGCGAATTTACGGCAGAATAGCAGAAGTGGCTCCTCCCATAGCCTACTCATTAATTAAAATTCCGAAAGACATTACAATAATACTTGTAAACAGTGTTAGGGTCACAATAAATTATTTTCCCAGAAATGTTCATAAGAAAAAAATCACGGCGTTTTAAGTAACTATGAAATAATGTACTATTTTGGAAACACATTTTATTATTGATTCCAATAGTAACGAATCCTTTCTTTGTCAAATTTTGTACATATAGGCTTAAAACTGTTAAATTGAGATGCAAACCGAAAACACAAGTCGACAAGTTAAAACAAAAGTGCCAAAATTTATCTTGGTGAAAAGAAAAAATATATGCAAAATTTCACAAATGGGAATCACAATATTATGTCAATTATGAAATATTCAAATAATAAAATCAAGTCTAACCACTTACTCTCCAAAAATAAAAAATAAATCCCCCAACTTTGACTGTCAAACAAGAACCTCGATCGAGACCACGACGTTATTTACGTATGCAAATCAGTATGAAGTCGAGCCACAGTCCTTTGGACTTTGATTTTAGATTTACTGGAGCAAATGCTCGTGTACTTGCAGTGTAAATCAGCTTTAACTTTTACTTACTTGTATAAAAAGACTCGGGAGACATTCCATATTTTCACATCGCGCCAAAATAGCAACATTAAATATTATAGCCAAGATTATGCGTGCAGTGCACCACCGATAGCTCTGCTCGAACCATGTTGAAAAAGCCGCCAGAGTTAGAACGTAACACGAAATTACATTGGTAGCCTCGGAGCGTCTTTGTTACCGTTGTTTTCATTGGTCGGCTGGTTATTGGAATTTGAGTTGCCAAACAAACTAACCAGGGACATATAATCAGACTACGTCACGTTGACCTTTGATTTAAATTAATACATTTTTAATCTGGGTAATACATTATCGGTTCTTTACTTCTGATATATACATCAATGCGAATTTCATTGACAGGTAAGCGAGTAATGTGCATTTTTCGCACTTTCAATTGCTTGAGACGAAGAGAAAACGGGCTGCTAAATAATACGAGAAATTCTCGTACACACATTTGGAGAAACTGCAAATGTGCACGTACTCCGAATCACGTGTGCGGAAAAGGAATCCTACATGTTGATATGTGTACTGCTCAGACTGATTATAAAAATAACTACTGGGGGATCACAGGGAGCCCAGGAACTATAATCAACTGTATGCAGTTAAGCTCCAGCGAGCTCATATTTTTTAAACTGAAAAAAACAGACGAACAGAATGAAAAATAAAATCTATAAAAAATACCAGGTTGAAGAATATAAGTTGCTCTTTCAAATTTAACCAAAGCCTTACCTATACTTTACCGATAACTGCAGAATAAATCAAGAAAACTACACAAATTGAGTCCATTTATAAATAATTAACTGTTGGCCCGAAAGCACTGCACATTTGAAGGCGTGGCCTGTTCAGAATTTGTCAAGCACCAATCATAAGACTCGTGGTTACGAACCACACCGACGACTCATTCATTTTGTTTTCTGTTTTTTGCAGTTTAAAAAATGTGAGCTCGCTGGAGCCTTTATTGCTTGTCTATTTCTTACACTAGATACCAGTCGATACCCCCCCCCCCCCCATAGAGACTGCGTAAAGTTGATCATAGTTCCTGGGCTCCCTGTGGTCATTCATATCTTTATCTGGAGACTTTCTTTGTTGTTCATACTTTGGACGTGACATTATGAGATGGAATTGATCTTCAAGTTCAACTGATGTTTTTGATTCAATTTTCAAACTGTGATTCCCTAATCTAAATTTGCTGTTCACGCAGTTCGATATAGTCAATGTCTGTTATGTATTTTTCTGTTTCTGTATTTTCATAATTTATTTTTCCCTATGGAGTGCTTGTTGTCACTGTAAATATCTTCTATCCAATGTGACATGAAGAATTCTTCAAGAAAGTTATAGGTGACAATTTAATACTGAACGAGTATCTCTGGGACTTCGTCAAATCACTTTGACCTCACACTAGGTTCAGGATATTTAACTGGGGGTTTACCAACTCAAATTCTTTTTCCAGGGGCATAGTAGTTTTCCACTTTTAGGGGGGGTTCACATATGAGAGGAAGTAGTGTTTCTTTATTTCTGCATTCTGCTTGTTCAAGAAATATGTCTGGTGTGCCTACAAACTCCTCCAATATCCACTGTCCGTCTACTACAAATCCATGTTATACTTTCTATTTTCCCAATTTTGACTCATCAAATTCAACAACTGTACCTAGTCTGTCTGAGAGATGCACAAACATTCACTGTTACAAAACTTCACAATTATCACAGACTCTTAAAATTTCCAAATTTCTCTTTTTGTGTATATTGCTATACGTACTTAGATTCATGTAATTCAATTGATGCTGTAAATAAAAAAATTTCTACAGGTATCAACCATGAGTCAGAAACAAGCTAATGGACCGGCATTTAAAGCACCACCGAAGAATTTCTTCACAAAAAATCGGGTCATGGTTGTGATGAGTATAGCTTTAGTGGGAATTCACACAAGTTGGTATTTTCTTCAACAAAACCCAGTCTTTGTACCTCCTAAGGATAAAGCTACTGAATTGAAACAAGCGACTGAACCCAAACCCACATATCTTAAATCAAAGAAATCAACGAAAGAAGCCAGTACAGTTTAAGCTAATAAGTAACTTGTATCAGTAATTGTTTATTTAATTCGTTTGAGGTAAGTGATTTTCAGAATTGTATAGTTCAACTAATTTACATTTTGTGTTGAATGAAATGAAATTGTGTATATACCGACAGCTTGCTGACAGCAGTATGGCTCTCCTATTTCAACTGTAGCTATACATCGGATTGCCTTGTCTTACTGTCTTTACTGAGAAATACTGGGTGGTTATGAAAGGGCCTCTCTACTTGCTGTGGCAAGGCAATCGTAAGATTATATAATTGCTGTTTTTCACAATTTATTTTATTTCTGTGGCCGCTTTCCCCACAGATATTGAGGAATTTATTTGTAGATACATGTACCAGTGTATTACAAATTATGTAAACATCAATGTACTTAGTGAATGCGTTAGTAGCTTCTGCCTGTTGCACCTCTCACAGTAACTTCATGCCAGTAAAAATTATCTCTCAACAGTCTATGTGTGAATAATTTTTACAAATGTAACAAAAAATTAAAGACAACTTTGATGCCTACAATAACAGATCCACATGTTCAATATGAAACTAATACTGGTACAGTAAAATATTGCATAAAACTAAATGATGGACTTGTGATGACAAAATAAACTGATCATGATAATCATCCTTGTAACCTTGCAATATTCACATAGCGATGTGTTGATAAACATTGATTTTCCCACAATCCAGTGCACTTTTCTAATGAAATCACAAGTACAATTTTTTTCCTAGGCCCCATTTGCACTAATTACTGCTTGCGACTCCTTCAATACCTTCAAAAAAAAAAAACCTAATTAAAGCTTGGTAACATCTCAGTTTGTACGACCGGTAGTTAGTGTTCTCAACAATCAAAATTGCCATCTTTGTTTATATGAAACCCATATCTCCCGCATGCATGGCACACCCTTTAAAAGTGTTGTTCTGATTATCGTGGCTTAGTGCTTCTTGATGAAGCATAGTAGTAGTAGTAGTAATTGTTTTTTTTTGTGTTCCTTAGATGAATCAACTTCCTGAAAATGCTTCCTCTGGAATAGCTGTGTCACCATCACAGCAATCAATAGTTAAAGTTCAGTCTCTTGAAGATCCAGAAATTCTGCATTCTATAAATTTATTTAAAGACATTCTTTTGTCCTGCTATGGCCCACACGGACAAATAAAAATAATTCAGAATAATTCTGGTGGACAAGTAACCATGACCTCTTTATCGAGCACTTTATTTCACTGCATTTCTCTGAGTAGTCCAGTATTGTCTCTGGTGAAAGCAGCGGTTCAAAATCACCTTTCTAGGTTCAGTGATGGTGGTTTGTTGACAGCTATACTCTCCATGTCGCTGATCAGCAAATGTCTAGAGTCAAAGGTACCAAGGCTGATATGTACGAATGTTAATGAGTACATTCTGAAACAAATAGAGGATTATCTTCAGGTATCTGAGTGTGAATGCAAAGTGCAGATAGATTTCACCAGTGTCCCTACTATGATGAAGATCATTAGGAGTGTCATTGCAAGTAAACCTGCTTGTTGCCTTTTATCAAATGAGACAAATTTGGTCAGTAGCCTGGTTTTACAAGCATATCTACAGACCTTATCAATGAATGATGTAGGAGGCAGCACTGCACGACTTGGGAGGGTTGAATACGTCATTGTAGATGGACCACCAGTGTCAGATTCCCAGTTATTCCCAGGTGTCTTATTTGAAGCTCCACATCTTCCTACTTATAGAACTAGTATAAATAAATCCAAAAGAGTAGAAGCAGGTCTGGAGAAAGGTCTCATTAAAGTGGTATTATATAACACATCTATGTCCGGTGATAGCGAGGAGTTAATGGATGTGAGATATGAAGTCACACAAGACATGGTTGCTAGTGAGGTAGTGCTACAGAAGTTGATGCAAGTGTCGGAGTATTTAGTACATCATGGTGTTGGGTTAGTAGCCTGTCAGAAAGTGATTCATCCAGCAATCAAGAAGTATTTCAAGCAACATAATGTGCTGGCAATTGATAGATTATCTCTCACACATATTGGTGCTGTACAAACTCTTACAGGTGAGTCAGATGCTTGAAATATTTAGATTTGTAAATATTCTGTGCATATGATCACATATGTTCTGATCTTGCCAGCGTTGAACACAAAGTGGTCTATGATCAGTGTGCCGCTGTATTGAATCTTAGTTTAATGAATTGTATATATATATGGATGTATATGTTCACCAAACTAAAGTTCACAGCAGGTTATCACTTTTAATAATTGTTATGGTAGGAAGATGATCTTGTCCATAAATCAGGAATATGGTAACTTTAGCAGAATTTTTGTTTACACGTTTTAATTTTATGAGACTTATTTTTGTGGAAAATTGTGAAATTCTGTTAAAATATGACGGGTCCTGCAACATAACACAGAATGTCAGTGACTTCGGCAAAATTTGGTTTTCATGGATGCCACTTAATCCTCAAATCATGAAAATTTTTAGGAGCAAAGATTAAACAGTATGTTCAACACTTTTGCTACTAAAAAGTGAGCAGAGACAATAAGGACATTTAAAGTGTTGAGCTGTTCCATGACATAAAAATATAAATTAGGAAGTAATGCCTGAAAAAAAATGAGGATTTATCGTGACAATTCTAATAATAGTTTTGTTTATTTTTTCAGGTGCAAAGTTGTTAGGTACATTGCATTCCGCTATCAATGCTGCTGATTTTGGTTACCTTACTGATGTGAACCATAAAGTACTGTTTAATAAGAGTTACATTCATATGGAATCACCTTCTGCCGCTGTGGTTACCATAGTAATATGCAATCGAAATGAACAGGCGTTACAAGAACTCAAGGTTTGTTTAGTGAAATTTGTTTTCCATTTTCCAGATCTGCATTTAACAGTTTGTTTAAAATCAGTCAAAAAAATTAATCGTTATATTGCTTAGTTCTGCACTTTATTCTGTTTTGATATGGCGGATTAGCAGAATTATGTTCTTGTCCAGAAAATCCATTGTATGTGTTGGAAAACTTAATTATTAAAGGACGATGGTTGTCGCGCCACGTATGCGGGAGATACAAGACCCATATGAACAAAGACGATGATTTTGACTGTTGTGCAGACAAATGAGTATAAACTAAGACAAACTACAAACCTAGACCTAGTGATCAATGCTCATATCACTACATTATTTTTGTTATTGACAGTGTACTAAACAGTTTCCTGACTGA